TACCTTTTAAAGGAGTTTACAGGAATAATCTTTAGATATATACCCACCTAGAGGCTTGAGGCTAGTCAAGGTAAACACTGGACAAACGTGGGTTAGTTGACTTCACAAATATCTATAATCTTTCGCAGCTACGTGTAGGTCACAATGTAAGGAAGACATTATAATTTAATTGTTAATTTACAAAAAGTGTAACAAGTACGAAATAATCATCAATAGATTTAAGAAATCCTCGACACTCTTTCTTATAATTCTGTTCCCTTTTAACATGTTAATTAAAACGTATAGATAAAAAATTGAAGGCGAATTACGAGAGAATTATCATTTATTATTATTATAATTTAGGGCGCGCCAGTACTTAAATGTTAAGATCAATATATCCGTTTTATATTTCTTCAGATGTCGTATATGTAAAGACATCTTTGTTAATTTAAAAAATGTACATTTTAAGGTTATCTTTCATTTTAGTCGTGGTGTTTTTGTTAGTCGCTGTGTTCGGGCAAACAAGAGGCAAGTTATTTTTTGTTTGTTAATAATAATTGCTATGGTTTAGATATTACTGACTGTTACTTTAATGAAAATACTTTTGATGAGTAAAATAAAAAAAATTACAGATCCGAGATGCATAATGCCAATAAATAGCGGAGAGTGCAGGAATGTTACCAGGTAACGATTTACTATTTTTCAAATATAGCACTAAACATTCATATGTAAAATGTTCTAAAAAACTACGTGTTAATATTTAAATTTAATGTCAACTTAGCTAAGAGTCCTACGTCTTATTTCCACTGGCGCAAACGCGACTGATTCTCGAACTGCGGTGAGCCGGCAAGTCAAAATTTCTTAAACAAACAAAAAAAGCAATTTAACTAGACTAACACCTTATTACTTACAAATATTAATAAAATAAATCCCAATAGTTGTTTTAAATATCGTCACTAGATATTTTTTTATCCATAATGTGTTAAATATGTAACTTGAACTATGTCCCCATACACATAAGGCTTCTTGTGTTTCAGATACCGATACGATCGGAACACACGTCGTTGTGTGAGCTTCGACTACAGAGGCGAAGGTGGCAACGAGAACAGATTCAACACCCAACGCGCCTGTCAAATACGCTGCGAGATGGATAGACCTTTTGCCATAGCTTTCCGGTTGGGCTGATTTTACTATCCTCCCACCTTACCGATAAATTTTAGACCCGCCACTGTCCTGTTTCATCCTTTTTTGTTTAGAAACTATTTATTGGATATAAAAAATGAAAATAACATGTTTATTTTATTGCTCACCCTAACTAATGCATTTTAGAGCCCTGTAGTTTTTACATACGTACAACTTAACCGTTTAGAAGTGCCTAACTTAACTAGAATAATGATCATTTACACACAAGTTAAGAGTAACAGAAAGGTACATGCGCAAATAAAGTACAAGTTTTTTTGACCATCTTCACGAATGGTAAGATGTTAGTCTTATATGAAACTCTACTAAATAAATGAATTCATGTTAAACTAGCAGTGCTGTTTCTATTTAGGATATTCCTAAATAAATATTTATATTTATTTAAAACTCTCTCACTAGGCCTGGTCCTGTTGGCCCCGAAATTAATTAAACAATTTCGGCAATTATCGAATTAACTGGGGTGTAAATTGCCTCATGCCGTTAGAGAAGGCAATACTAGTTTCTGTGTGGTAATTAAATTGCTTTGTTAGGGTCGCTTTGTTACCGATATAATAGGATTTATGGACCCCCTACACAATCGTAAGTTACACTATTTTTGGAGGATACAAGGCAAGGAGGATACGTACAATTATAATTCTCTCCGCTATGACAAAAGTCAATCTTACTAATATTATAAATGCGAAAGTTTAGATGGATGGGTGGAAGGATGTTTGTTAGAATGTGTAGCCTAAACGGCTGAACGAATCTCGATGAAATTTGGCATAGACGTAGAGGATAGTCTGGGAGAACACAAGGTGTACAAACTTTTGGTTTCTTTAAACACCACGCGGACGGAGTCGCGGGTAAAAGCTAGTATCTCTAGATTATACGGTTTCCTCACAGTAACTACTTTCTGCCTTATATTATGGACTAGCGGTTCCCGTGCGACTTCATCCGCATAAAATTATGAAAATATTATTTTATTGTTTACATTTGTCAAATGTCAAAATGACATGACAAACCATGACAACCTTGCTTCCTTGATGTTGGCAGCAACTTATGGTCTCTTTCCCACATTAGTGTTTATATTCAAAATATTTACCCCCTAAGTTTAATGGCGTGAAAATATATAGCCTAAAGCGTGACGTAAGTGTAAGACGTTTTATAAAAAAAGAATTATTCGAAAATTTGCTGTAATTGCTGACATCTAGGGCAATAAAGAAGTGTGTGTTTACGCTTTATTAAAATAGTATAGATTATAAATGACTTTTGAACAATTTAAGATGAAATTAGATAAATTTTCTAAGTATCACAAAACATTGCAAAGAAAAATGTTTTTAATGTTTTCTTTTATTCAGCTGTGCCAACATAAAGCCCACTTTCAATATCTTCTTGTTTAACCTAATTACATATTTATTGAGTCACGATTAGCGACACAAGTTTTTAATAAATTACATGTGTCAATTACTCATGTAATCGTTAACTAAAACAATTTTATTTATTTGTAATCTATACAAAATACAACGTAGCAAGGCGTTAAGAAAAAAGACTTTTCTTAATGTTCTTCTTCTTCTGAGGCACTACAGCCACGTGTGGGCCTGGGCCTGGTCCAGTAAACTTCTCCACTTCTGTCTAT